CTGATTGTCTGGTGGCGAGACTAGGGATGAGCAAGCAAACAACTTTTTTTTTTTGTTGAGCGAAAAAAAAAGTCCAAAAAAGTTAATAACTTACAAATTATGGCGAAAAGGTAGTTTCTTGCAACCCTAGAATTAAGATAAAAATATTCACAAATGAAAAAACACTTCTGGTTGCTGATAAGTAGTGTTTAACTTCTGATTTAACACTAAAAATTAAAACCCTCGGTGCGCACTGCAGCGCAAGCAGAGATGCGCAACTCAGAGCAGCATGTGTCACTGACACCAGACTCAGAGCGCAGCGGACTGGTGGAAAATGTCACCATCAGCATATTATTTTACATCAATAAAATCTATTATATCATTATTTTGAGTCACATTGTTGAAAGAATTTAGCTGTCTGTGTTCAAGCAGGATAATAGGTTTCCATTCATTGCACGTCGGGCTTTCTATTTCCTTTTCAGAGATGGTGTTGCTTTCAAGGTCCCCCCAAAAAAACGGGAGGAAAAAAAAAGGCTGAATATTCATTTTTAATTTTTTTTCCACAATCGAATCCCGTGCCATCGAACGAAGCTTCAAAGCTTCTAAGTTTTTGGGTCAGCCCTATAACGTACACTCTACAGAGCCAGGTCCAGGATCCTCTTCAAGTTTGTCAGGGAGTAATGTGGAAGTGGAGGAAGAGATTGTTCTTTTTCACAAATATGAGAATGATAGTCAAAAATACCATCAAAATGCATAGTTTTATGTAAAATAGCATCAAAAATGACATGCCTCTTAATTTTTTGCTGCTGTATCGAAAATGGTATCGAGTATTGAATATTTTCCTGGGTATCGATATCGAGTTTGAAATTTTAGTATCGTGACAACCCTATTGGAAACAAAGTGACAGGTCGCTAAAAATCCTGCACATTTGGTGGCTGAAAAGCACCTGAAAACACTTCAATGTCTCAATGTAAAAACAATCTGTTTTTGTTTGTTGGACTCTAACAGTGGTCTGCGAAGATTAAGAAAAGGGACCTGCATGTAGTATTTTTAGATCTTGCAAATGTGTTTGGTTCAGTACCGCATAGCCTCATTTGGAGTGCGTTTGACTACTTCAGAGTTCCTCAGGTAGTTTTTATCTTAGTGAAATCATATTTTCAGTATATTAGGTTGTGTCTAAGTACTGCAGGTTTCACAACAGGTTGGCAGAGGCTAGAAATAGGCATCATGGCAGGGTGTACAATTTCTCCATTAGCATTTACTATGGCAATGGAAGTAATCATCAGGGCTTCTAAGTGGGTGGTAGGTGGAGAGAGACAACAGAACGGGTTGCATTTTCCACCAGTTAGGGCTTACATGGATGACATGACACTGGTGACCACAACAATGCCATGTACAAAGAGGCTACTAGAGAAGGTAAATAAGAACCTCAAGTGGGCCAGCATGAAGATCAAGCCTAGTAAATCTAGAAGCATCTCGATACGTAGAGGGAAGTTAAGTGATAGGAAGTTTGTCATAGATGATGAGGACATCCCAACAATTAGGGAAAAGTCAGTAAAGAGCTTAGGTAGGTGGTACAATGTAGAGTTGAATGATAAGGAACAGGTGGTGAAATTTAGAAAAGATGTGGCTGAAGGATTGGATAGAATAGATAAATCAGAACTTCCAGGAAAGTTGAAGTTGTGGTGTTTGCAATTTGGGCTATATCCTAGGTTAATGTGGCCATTGTCAGTTTATGAAATTCCAATATCTGTTGTGGAGAGAATGGAAAGGTCGGTTAGCTCCTACATTAGGAAGTGGTTGGGCGCTCCTAGGTGCCTAAGTAGTGTTGCATTGTATGGAAAAGGGATACTTCAGCTGCCAGTATCTAGTTTAACAGAGGAATTTAAATGTACCAAGGTCAGGACAGAGCTCTTGTTATCTGGGAGTAAGGACGTGGTAGTTAGGAGTGTGGTTCCAAATCCAACCAAGGGGAGGAAGTGGAACCCAAGATCGGCAGTTCAGGAGGCAGAGGCAGCTCTTAGACATGCAGAGATTGTAGGTAATGTTCAGTTTGGCCGGGGAGGCCTGGGGCTTGGCTCAGGTAAACCGGTATGGAATACAGCAGGCCTCAAAGATAAAAGAAAGCTGGTTGTAGAACAGATACGCAGACAGGAAGAGATAGTAAGGGGTGCAAAGGTAGTGGCCCAGGCTAAACAGGGACAGTGGTTGAATTGGGAAAGTGTAGAGAAGAGGAAGCTTAGTTGGAGGGACCTGTGGAGTATGGAGGAGAATCGTATTAGATTCCTGGTAGGGGCTACATACGATGTGTTACCAACCCCCCAGAACCTAAAACTGTGGGTAAATGAGGACCCATCATGCCCATTGTGTTCACGTACCGCAACTTTAAAGCATATTTTGTCAGGCTGTAAAGTTAGCTTGTCACAAGGCCGATATACATGGCGACATAATCAGGTGTTGAAATGTTTAGCTGCAGGCATCGAAGGGAAACGAAGACAGGTGAATTCAGAAGGTGTTAAGGATAGGGGCTTAGTAATTCAGTTTGTCCGTGAGGGAGAGAAATACAGAAGGGATAAGTTAGTGAGGAGGCAAGGGTGTGGCCGCCTAGAAGGTGCTTGTGATTGGGAAATGCAAGTAGATTTAGGGGGAAAGCTTGTTGTTCCTCAGGAAATAGTCTGTACCAGGCAGAGGCCTGACTTAGTGTTGTGGTCAGTGAGTCAACAGATAGTTTATTTCATTGAGCTGACAGTTCCTTGGGAAGACTCAGTGGAAGAAGCCTATGAAAGAAAAAAGCTTAGATATGCAGACTTAGGAGCAGAAGCTGAGCAGCGAGGATGGAAGACTAGGATTTGTCCAGTGGAAGTGGGGTGTAGGGGATTCATAGCAAGATCAACTGTCTCACTCCTGGGGGAACTCGGAGTGCGGGGACAGAATTTGAGGAAGACAGTGAGGGAAATGTCAGATGAAGCAATTAAATGCAGCCAGTTTATCTATTACAGAAGAAATAATGTCAGCTGGGGGCCAGCAGGGGGAACTACTAAGCAGGGCACATAACTCCTTGAGATCAGGTGGAGAGATCCACTTCCTGTCAGGAGAAATCCAGGAAGAGGAAGTATTTAAGTGTGGGAGTGGCCTATTGGAATCCATTTTGTTTGAGGCCATGCGGCAAGGTGAGTGTGCTTGCTGATCCTGTAAGTCCAGTTAGCTCCTTTAACTTTAGCTTATATTGTAGTTATGCTATGTAGTGTGTGAAATAGAGTATGGTGAATGTGACAGGAAAGCTAGTATCAGCATTGCTTCTGCCTGGAGCTCGCATGTATGGAGCCTGGGTTTGGTTGAAGATGGCAGTGCTGTTTGGGCTGAGAAAGCCATGTGTAAGTAAGGAGGAAGCCCAGGAAGAGGAAGGTTATTTAAGTGTGGGAGTGGCCTATTTGAATCCATTTTATTTGAGGCCATGCGGCAAGGTGAGTGTGTTTGCTGATCCTGTAAGTTTATTTAGCTCCTTTAACTTTAGCTTATATTGTAGTTATGCTATGTAGCGTGTGAAATAGAGTATGGTGAATGTGCTAGGAAAGGTAGTAGCAGCCCTGTTTCTACCTGGAGCTTGCATGTATGGAGCCTGGGTTTGGTTGAAGATGGCAGTGCTGTTTGGGCTGAGAAAGCCATGTGTAAGTAAGGAGGAAGCCCAGGAAGAGGAAGGTTATTTAAGTGTGGGAGTGGCCTATTTGAATCCATTTTATTTGAGGCCATGCGGCAAGGTGAGTGTGTTTGCTGATCCTGTAAGTTTATTTAGCTCCTTTAACTTTAGCTTATATTGTAGTTATGCTATGTAGCGTGTGAAATAGAGTATGGTGAATGTACTAGGAAAGGTAGTAGCAGCCCTGTTTCTACCTGGAGCTTGCATGTATGGAGCCTGGGTTTGGTTGAAGATGGCAGTGCTGTTTGGGCTTAGAAAGCTATGTGTAAGTAAGGTAAAGGAGGTTATTGGGTTGGTGCGGGGAGGGGAGCAGTAAGACCTGGCATTAGGGGAGTGTCTCTGGGACGCCAGAGATCACTGTCTAGCCTCCTGGAGGTGTCGTGGGACCAACTAGACGAAACACTGATGAAAGGAGGTTCCCACCCAATGACCCCAAAGACATGTTAGCTATCACTGCTCACTGGTTTGTATAGTTAAGCATTGCCATATTAGCTTATCATAGGGCTTAGGTTATTCACTGAGTGTTGATCCTTTCTCTAGAGCACAAACTTCTTGTGTTTATTTGAACTCTGCAGTTTGGCAGGTGTCTCACCTAGGCGTCACACTATCCACCATCCCCTTCACCTCCTGATGGCTCAGCTCATATACTGTGTCACTTTAGAAATGTTAATATATATATGATAAAACTGAAACATCCAAATGTAACATATTTGTGGTTTGCAAAAATGTAGTGCCGGCAGTTTCCTCTGGTGACTGGTCTGAAATTCAACATGCACCATGAAATCTCAACACCTCAATGCCTATCTGAGCAGTGTCAGAATTGCAACGTGTATGTAAAAACAATGTTTTTGTCTTTCCCTAATGGAGGCATAGAGGAACAGAGGTTGATTCAACTGGTAAAGGCTACATTATCCAAAAAACACACATCACCACCTAAACTCTTATCAAGCAGGGAGTGACAGGCCACATAATTGCGTCTGTCTGACATGTCATGTATTTCCAATTTACATGACAGGAAGGGCTGGAAGGGCCGGATACCTCACAACGTGTCTTTGTATTTAATGAACAGTTGGCATCTCTCCACATCCAACCACAGCTACGTCACTCTCACATTGTTCATTGGTGTAAAAATGTGGCACTGCCAACTATTCTGACACAGAAAGGGGGTCACACGGGTGTTGGAAAAGAAGGAAAATACATTAGCAACAAAGGTTTTCATATGAGACTGGTAAGCTGTGAATTTATGCATGCATGTTCCTCAGTGATTATTGACGCCATGGGGAAACACTGTGGACAGGGAAATGTATAATTCACCAGGACTCACATTGTCTGTTCTGAGCTTCTTGGCAGGGCAGCCTCCATCCACAGGATGTAGCATGTAATACAGCCGCACTTTGTTGGCATGTTTCCGACTCTGAGGGAGGGAAAAGGAAAAAACAAAAAGTTAGTAATAAAGTAATCAAAGCGGTAGACTCTTGTTTTGATGTCTCCTCAGGTGCTGCAGGTCCTCAACTGTCAATCAAACGCGGCAGCCAGCTCTGTTGTGTTTTTATTCTTGAATGCGTTTGACAGCATTGTATAGAGCATAAATGCCAAAGTGTATTTCAGTAATTATCTGCCATGCCCTCACTCACTTCATCTCAGCACTTTATATTATGTGATACCATACACTACACAAGTGGCTACATAGAGAGCGAGGGGGCAGGGTCCAAGTGGAATACATTTAATGTTGAACGCACTTCACTAATTCTATTCAGTGATTCAAGCACCTGTTCTCCATCTGCACTGCAGTTACTGCACTGTCTCATAGAACAATTGATGTCAGTGTTGTCAGTTAATGACTGCACTGCAGATTGTTGTTGAAACAACATTACTGCGAGTTGAAACAACATTACTGAAAGTTAGTTCCCACCAAGCAATCTGATTGGACAAAAGGCATTCCATGAGTGCTAATACAGAGTACAACATTACCAGGACTTTTAACTAAGCATGTATCACTCTGCTTTACAGGTGTTCTGAACCACTAATTACATTAAAAGTTAATTAGCCTACATTAAGGGTCATCATAAAAACAAAAATATATAAAAAAAAAAACCCTTTGCATAGATGAGCATATTTCCACAAATTGAGCATAGCGCTAGTTCAGGCAGGACACAATGTCAAGCTCAGCTCACATCCCAGCAACGTCAGCTGATCTCAAGCAGCCCAGTCAACTGATGGATCACCTGACTGATGGAGGAGAGTCAGCTGATAGATCACATGATTCCTTTCTCTGCAATCGATTGGCAAATCTCATTCAGGGTGCCCTATTTAAACTGCTTTGGCCTGCCTACTGTTGCTGCTTCCTCTGCAAGCCGCTGTGCAACCCACCTCCACCCCAGCTCCTCCTTCATGTTGTGTCTCATTTCTGTTTGTCATCGATGCTCGCTCTGTTCTGTTCCCAGGGGTCTTTGCTGCTGTTGTCCCTGCCCTAGGCTTTCCATGTAGGCACATGGAGGGGCAGAGAGGTGTGCTCTCTCAGCCTTAGGCTTTTTGCATAGGTCTAGGAAAGGCAGAGAGGCCCCACAACAGAGCCATATTGTGAAATATAATATTGCAAAAAGAAACTGAGTTTTCTTTAACTAAAGTGGTCCTGACTGAAGTTATGAATGTCGTCAAAAAAGGACAAAGGAAAGTAAAGAAGCCTGGATACTTCACTGCTAACCTGCTGATATGACATCAGTCGATGGCACAACACACGGTCGGATCAAGCTGTTAACTTAAAAAATATGTTGACAGAAGCGACTGTCAACAGGCTCTCATTTCACTGGTTGCACAATAAATGGAAACGTGCAGATAAATGTACTTGACATAAAGTAGCTGGCCTGGAGTAACGTGTGTCTACACATGTTTACGTATTGCTTGGCAACAGTCTAGTCTCAGCTAGCTGAAAAGGTCACGTTTGGGCTTGAAAAACACGGTTTTGGTGTTACAATCACAGCTGGAAAAGCTTGTTGATGTCTCAGTAAAAAAAATAACCACTTTTTGTGGCACTCTCCTGGCTGGAAATGCAGGGATGTCTCTGTAAAAAAACAACTGCTGTCCATAACATTATCCCTGTAAAAAACACAGAAATGTCTCAGTAAAAAAACAATAGCTTTTATGGCATTATCTGTGCAAAAACAACTGCTTTTCATGGCTTTATTCTGGCAGTGCTGATATTCAGTACAACAGCCCTCCCTCTGTGTGATATTGCTCACTTTTGCTTGTCCTTAACATGTAATGTTTCGGTACAGGCTCAAAGAAAAATGGCCGCTGGTATCTGACTGGTTATTGAACTGACCAAAAATCTGAGCTGATGTTTTGAAATTGAATTTAGATTGGATTTAGATTAGATCATCTCAGAGTCATAATCCCTATGGCCTCTAGAGAGCATTGTCAGTTGAATGTAATTTGTTAAAATGACTGATTCTGCCATTCTTCTCAGGAGGACAGTCTATTCCATCCATACTGTACACTGTAAACCCCAATTCATCCATGACACAAAATTTCAATGTTAAGTCTACACAAATGCCCCAAATTGTCAAAATGACACATAAAAACTTTGACACAAAAAACACATCCCTTGTGAGCTTGATATACTGAGTTTTGAGTTAATTTGTCTAAAATGTATAACGCCAATTTGACCTATTATTTTAAGGCCAATAAACAACTCAATCATTGTGCACTTAACATATTGTGGCATGTTTGGGATTTCCCAGCATGCCTTGAGTGTTAGAGGCCATAAGTGGAAGAAAATTGTGTTTAAAATCTGTTCTAGATCAATAATATTACCCGTTATGCAGTGATTAATATTTATGTATTTCACAATGGTTCTAATGGGTTACAGTTAATGTTGTGGTAAGTTATATGCACAGTCAGTGACCTCCCACCTGTGTGGATATTGGAGTGTCTAACAAAGTTAAAGAGCACTTCAAAATTAATCTCTTTGCCTTATTCTAATAATCAGGTAAACCAAGCCTTCCATAATATATTTTACAGTTCAATGAAAGTGAAAATAAATTGTTGCAGAATGTGTATGTTTTTTATATTAATATGACACAGAATTAAATGCTCATACAACAAATACATTTATGTTAAACTGACATAAAATTCCTGTCAGACAAGGGTCACATGACCCATTTATTTTGTGTTGCTGTACTAAAAACTTTAATGTTACTGTATTATACTAAACTAAAAGTTTTAAGTGCAATCTGTTTCCATAAAAAAAAAATCAAATTGAGTGAACAAATTTGGGTTTAGAGTGTAGAATCCAAGTCCCGCTGGGATCCAAGATATTTTTGGTGCATTGGATGTGTCCATAGTAACCTCAGTGGCATATATCCAACAGAAATTCTACACATGCCTGAACCGTTGTTATCCCACTATTTAAAATATCCCAAACCTCATTATTTAAGTACTAAAACAGCACTGAAACAATTCAGTGAAGTCAAGAAACCGAGTAAAGTATCTCAGCAACTGAGACCTAAAGCTATCTGTTGATCTGGTATCCACAGAACTGATAATGCTGATGGAGCACACACACACTAGGTAATCACCGTCATGTACTAATGACGTTATGGTTATGGAAAACTTGTTAAGTGCCTCACTTTCACGATTCACTTAACTCCCTATTAAAATATGCTTTCAGAGCACGAGGCTGTGTCACATCAATCTGTGATGAAGCTTATTTAAATAAAGCCACACATTGTTTGCTCTACTTGAACATGACACTGTGCCTTTCCTGCCCTTTCACACACACACTCCTGTTACAAAGACCTGGTTTCTGTTAGTGCCGGTAGAGGTCCCATTTAAAACAGGAGAACACTGTCGAATGAAGTGCACACTACCACTCCCTAACACTGTGTTGAATTGATAATTAGTGCTCGGTTCACTGAGGGTGAAGCAAGAGTCTTCTTACCAGCAGCCCATCGATCCCCTGGGATCTGATGGCAAAGCCGCGGCAGGGGGAAGGCGGGATTTGGAAGGACAGATTAGTTTATCTGAAAATGATTCCGCTTCAGGAGGAGAAGCTTTGTGATACAGAAGGGATACATAAAGAGGAGGGAAAACCTTCCATGATATTGTCATTGCATCGTCAGGGGAAAGCCGCAGATGAGGGAGAGTTTATAGTTACAAGATAGCATCTAGTGAGGCATGTAGCGATGTGGACAGGTGCCCGGCGTGTTACTCTGTCAGGCAGAAGGACAGCCACTGGCTTCTCTGCACAAGGGCATGACAGACGAACTCATCCCGCCTGGTCCGGGGGTGAGCACCAGGCTGCAGGATTCTATTTGTCTTGCCTGTCTGGTTTCCTGGCAGAGATACTGCAACGTGAGCTCTGCTGCTTCTTTGAGGACAAGAAAAAAAAAAAAAAAACAGATCCAGCTTGATAAGGATTTAGGATACACAGCAGTTAATATAGTACACCTTTCATTAAAACTGCTTGTGGTTTGCTTGACTTCCTTTTAGACATATACTCCTGCAAATATTCTTCAAAAATAAAAAAAATATTATGACATATTTAGCTCAAATGAAAAAGAACACAGCATTTTTCTTTTCTTTTACATATAAAACACCATCTTGTGTGTTTTGGTGGTTCTATTCATATTGTATTAGTCATTGAATATAACATGCTCATTGCAACAGAGATGTTTAGATGTTTCAAACTCTGCATGAACAGAGGAGAAAGAAAATATGAGCATTTGAAATTCAAATTTTCTCCCCAACTTACAACTAAATAGCCAGAATAATATCACTAACAGGACTTCTTCTTTAAACAGCGGCAGAGTCAGCTTTGTACTGTTCAAAATGTTTGTTCCTGCACTAAAAATAGATCTCTTTTGCTACGGGATAAGGGATAATGATATGGACCGAAGAACTGCCATTCATGGAGCACAGGAACAAGACAATCAACCAGAGTTGAACAACAATTTCCTGTGAGGTCACTGCCAATAGCTACCACAGGGGCACCATTCGCAGCAGGCTGGGCTTTGATTCACCCCCTGAAATCATATCAGTGTGGGTTTTTTTTACCTGCAATCAATTGCACTTCTGGTGCCCAGACGCATTATTTGTTATGTCACCCTAAAGTGCCTTTTACGCACTGAGGTAACATCTATTCTTTGCAGTGGAGAGCTACTTGGGTTTCTGCAGAGCAAACACTTCCAGCTCCAAACTGGATGGAAAATGTTCCACTTCAACCAGCTTACTGAGGACATTGCAGCAATAAGGCTACTGTGCACATTGGCCGTTATCTTTGCACATTTGAAACTCTACTTCATTATTTTAATTGTTAATATACCAGTATATTAATTCTGCATCTATTTGCATAACTTCCTAATTACAAGATGGAGCCAGCTGCATTTGCAATTACCATTGGTTTTGCACTCTGCC